GAAAGAAAGAAAGAAAGAAAGAAAGAAAGAAAGAAAGAAAGAAAGAATGAATGAATGAATGAATGAATGAATGAATGAATGAAAAACATTGTGGCATCTGAAAGACTTCTATTTTAATGTGAGCTTTTGTGGACAAGTACAGTTCTTCAGACATTTAAAACCCACACAACAATAGCAAGCTTCCTCTCTGAGTGTGGATGCTTATGTAGTTTTGTAATTAAGGTTATGAGTACATGAAAAAGGACTTTCTCGGTAGTGACCCCTGCATTGTGGGACTCTGGCTATAATCCTATCAGACCTCTGGCGGTCAGCCAACCCTGTATAGGGGCTTGGGTGTTTAAGACTAGTCCTAAAACCAGCTTTTGGAGAATGTTTTAAATCTTCTTTTAAACAGTGCTCTTAATTTGTTGTGGGTTGTTTTTTAAATGATTTTGATCTGTTTTAATCATTCTAACCTGTCCATCTTACATTGCTACAGGAGTGCTGACCGACAGAAAAGCAATAACCAAAGAGTTTAATAAGTAATATTTAAAACAGCACAAAAAGGCTCAACCAAAGGAACTCCGAGGAACTTCCCCAAGATTCCTAAAAATCGCTTAAAGTGCTGCAAAAGCTGATAGGAAGGATGAGGAAAGGGGAGAGATAAGGAAATGCTCCCCTTATTAGACTCCCCGACCCTAACAAATGGCCGTCACAACCTCACGCTGTCAATCAAGCGAGACCGCTTCAGGGTGGCTGGCAAATCCCAGCAATTTCAGCCGGACACAAGTGTAATCGCCTGTCTCTGAACCAGAACTTTATTGGTGCAACCTCTTCATCAGTGTGGCTTATTCTAAAATCTGCCCACGTTGACTCCCAAGGCCAGTCACAAGGGTATCCAGGGGAGCGTTCCTCCCAGTAAGAATGCACCAGCCTCCAAAAGGTAAAGGTGGCACCTTCAATCCATCCACTTGCTTCAGCAGAATGCAGATTTGTGGAGAAAAAGCGAGCCTCTTTTGGCGACTCAGTAAGGTGCCCTGTGTGCAGCCTGCATACATTGATCAGCCACAAAATTAAAAACACTAGCAGGTGAAATAAACAGCATTGCTTATATTGTTAAGACCCGATCCGATCCATAGAGGCCCCAGCCTCGCAACATGCAGGACTTAATAAAGGATCTACGGCTAATGTCTTGGTGCCAGAAACCACAGGACATGCTCAGAGGTCTTGTGGAGTTGATGCTTCGATGCCTCTGAGCGTATTTGGACAGCACAAGGGGGTCCTACATGATATTAGGCAGGTGGTTTTAATGTTGTGGCTGGTCAGCTGTAAACTGACCAGGGAGTGCTTGAAGTGCTATGGGGTGGTATATTGGCAGCACATTTTACTTTTACCCTACTTAGATGATTTTTTAAAAAACAATCCTGATTTATACATGCCTCAAAAGAAAGCAGACAGAGGAATTTGACAGTTAATAAAGTAAAGGACCTAAACAGAAACCTGGATGGACTGAAGTGGTAGGAAGGGATAGACAGCAAAAGATGCAAGGAGACCTCTAAAAAAGAGATAACGTCATACACACTGACATCTCCAGACTCTTCCTACAAATCATGCTCTTCTGTGATCCTTAACAAACATTAAGGCCCCAAACATCTGGAACATGAATGCCCAGTTTAGAAATACAGGCTAGAACAGATCAGGTATGTCCATATGCCAAGGGACAGTCATATTACAGAATTCAAACTTTGTATTGGGGTTCTATCTGTATTCGATCAATCAAGAAGGAAAACAGGAGTACAGAATTGTGTGAAAGGGTCATCTGGATTCCTAAATTGCTCACAGTGCTGCAAAAGCTGGTGGGAAGGATGAGGAAAGGGGAGAGGCTGAAAAGCCGATCAGATCTTTAAAGGCCTTTATATCTGCATCTTTTAAAATTTGAAGATGCTTTTTGCAACACCTTGGCCAGTTTAGGAGCCCATGGTCCTGGATCGCTTGTAGACAATAATACAGTATATCTTTTTTCCCTTTTTAAAATGCAGGACCTTGCATTCATTTGTTTATTAGGGATAGCCTAATAAACAAATTAATGCAAGGTTGCAGTTTCTGGTTTGTTTAATGGTCAAGACACCTTCTTTTGTGTTCTGTAAAGAGCCTCCATACTTTGCAAAATAACAACAAACAGTCTGAACAGGACAGTCCACCACTCCACTCCCACGGACTCAAAGCAGAATCTGGAAAAGTTACTTTTTGAGACTACAAATTACGGAATCCTCCAAACCCATCCTTGGCACGGCCTGCCAGCGCAGATACATAAGGTTCCTGACCTCTGGTTCAAAAGTGAACCTCAAAAGTTTTAAACTTTTTAAACATCACCAGCTAGGAGGCTAAAATCCAGCCAAGACCCCCCACTACAGCCAGAAAACTGTGAAAATGGTGGCAAGCTCACCCACACACTTAATGGTGAAAAGACTGGTAAATTTTTGCTCATCACAGAGGGCCCTTCTGCAAAATCATACCAGGTAAGGAAACACTGCAGTGTTCCTGCGGTACTTGTCAGAAATGTATCTCCATCAGAACTTGAGAACATTCATTTTTTTGGACCACAAGTCCCAGAAGCTGTGGCGTCTGGGCCTTGTAGTCCCAAGCAGTGATGCTTCTGAGCTCTGAAATCCTTGCTTTAATGACCGTACCTGTTTATGCACAACACTGACCAGTTTCTTGTATTTGTTCGGGATTTGGCCCATGCAAACCAAGCACTGGCGAGGACAACACTCCCCCCATGAGGACGACACTCCCCGCATCTGACCGTAGAGCTGATCGGCTCTGAACCCTAAAAGCACACCCTCACCAGCAAACCCACAGAATGCACTCAAAGTGGGTCCAACCCTGTTCAAATGGGGCTTCCTCTGAGAGGCATGATAAGGGCGCAAAGGCACTGCTGATTGCTAAATGCATTTACAGAGAAGTGGAGCCTTGTTACCAAAAGCTGCATCTTTACTCAGAGGCAAGCCCCTTCTGAACGTGTTTGCTTTTAAAGGTCGGGCAAGCCTCCTCCCCAGTTTTTATGCCATCTACAGTTCCTTATCGGCTACAAGCCAAAGCCAGATGCACCTGGCGACCCCACACTTTTTTCCTTAGGACGACTCCGTGGGGCGGGTCAGGCTAAGGGACCTGGGACCACTCCAAGGTCACCCAACGGGTGTCACAGCTGGAACTTGACCCTCCCTTGTCCCCCGCGCCGAACTCTAACCACTACGCCCTTGCGCCCTTTTATCCTCGGAGCGCATCCTGCGTGACCCTCCACGCCCCCTGAAACTCACGATAGTAGGTTTTATATGCATTTTATGATGACCGAGGAAAGCTGGGCCACATGCCTTTTTTGGGGCGGGGGACTACAACGCCCATGCTGGCTGGGGGATTATGGGCCCTGCAGTCCCCCTTCCTCGGAACCGTGCCTAAGCTCCGGGGAAAAGCAGCCAAGAAATGGCAATTTTTAAAGAAGGAAATTTTAAAAAGCCATGCCTCCCCTCCGCCGCCCAGGGCGACCCCCCCACCCCCCCCCCGGGGGGACCTTCCCTACCTCCTGAAGTAATTCCTCCCGTAGAGGATCTGCTGCAGGAGGGTCACCAGCGCGAAGGCGCAGACGAAGATGAAGAGCAGCGTCCGGTTGCCCAGCAGGTCCCGGCTGGACGTC